GGATTGGATGGCGAATGCTGGTGAGCGGATTATGCTCCTTCACGAGGAGTAACAGGCGTAAGTAAGTAAGTAAGTAGTATATTGTCAGGTCCTGCTGCTTCCTCATTCTTGGTTTGTTTAATGGATATCCTGATTTTTTTGATCGTTGGTGGAGTGATATTTATAGGAAGTAATGGTTACAACAGCTTTATCATTAATGTTGTATTATTATGTTGTGCGATAAGCTTATTACTTTGGTCTTTTCGAGTATTATCAAAAGAGTCATTTTAGCTGGTCAATGAAATGACTATTATAGGACCTATAAAAATAGTGAATTTAGTTCGTCAACGTCAGTATTAGTCAGAGTTGTTGTCAGATGTTTTCGTTGGTGTAGGATTTTCAACGAAATCGGGACTTGTAAGATAATTGGGAGCTAAATAGAATATGATGTTCTGCCATTTCATAATATGAGATAGTACTTGAAATCCAAATGATTTTTACAGTAAATATATCTGCACTTATTATGATTACGTTGGGTAAAAAACATGTGTACGTTTAAGGGAACATTTCATCGACTAGTTCACCACTTGCGCTATACTGTTTCGACTCACACGTTAACTGGTACATACAATTAGATACACGGATAACTTTTATGATTATAATTACACACAAGTTAGCGGTATAGAATTGGTGAAACTAGGTAACAATTGATACTCGAGATATCAATGTTTCGTTTATGGTTGACACATTTTCAAAGTGAAACGAAACACTTCTAATGTCTTAAGAATTACTGTTTGCAAATATCACTCAAATATAAATCTTCCTGATTTATTTCTCTTAAGTTATTATTCATTTACGAAGGTGTAAACTGTAATTTATTCACTGATGCTTGACTCATAATGATTAACATGAATTCAATGTATCTCTTAAGTTATCTTTTTACAAAGACTTATTCAGATGTCTAATGATATATGCCTGTTAGCTCTGGTGGAGAAGCATGGGCTGCTCACCAGCATTCTCTATGCAACTCTGTCCTGGAAAATCCTTTCCAGTTGTTTCCAGTTGCTATTCATCCTTTCAATGTTTGCCTCCAAGACCTGACGTGGTGTGTTCTTCGGCCTTCCTCTTTTCCCCTTCCCTTCAGGATTACAGATCGTGACTTCCCTCGTGATGCAGTTTGGTGATTTCCGTAGTGTATGTTCTATCCACTTCCAACGTCTTTTCCTAATTTCTTCCCCAGCTGGGAGCTGGTTTTTTCTCACCCACAATAGGCTGTTGCTAATGGTATCCGGCCAACAAACATGTAATATCTTACCTAAAAAACTGTTTACAAATACAAGTACATTTTTTGTGATGGTTGTGGTAGTTCTCCACGTTTTAGCCCCATACAGTAGAACTATCTTGACGTTCGTATTGAAAACTCTGACTTTGATATTGGTTGACAGTTGTTTTGAGTTGAATATGTTCTTCATTTGCAGGAATGCTGTCATTGCTTTGCTAGTCCTCGTCTTTACGTCTGCGTCTGATCCTCTTCGTTCATCGATAACCTTTCCCAGTAGCGTGTAAGATTCCATATGTTCAAGAGCATTCTAGGGCAACTCCCTTTAAGTACGGCCCATATAACTAGCTCCGGAGGAGCAGTTGGAACGGTATAAACAAACGGAGGAATCTATCATCATCATACATTGAGATATAAAATAAAGAAGATTTGTCCATAGAAGAGTCCCTATTTGGCAAATGCATACATATTTTTAGAAGTGATAATAATTACAACAACAGTGACAATAAAATCTTGTTAGACATGGTAGCAGTGAGGTTGAATTTAGAAAAATTCATTTAAACGTTCTCATAATGGATGTAGAGAGGGAAATTATAATTACGGAGGAAAAGCTTAGCATGGTAAGATAAAGTGTTAAAACTGAAATGAACTGTAATATGGAGGATCATAGGAACACAACAAATCAGTTGTAGGGTGGTAAAAGGTCAATAGAGAAGATAGTAAAGATGCAGATATCTAAGAATAACAAAAAGTACGAATAAAAAAGAAAACTATGGGAGATCAAAACTATTGTAAACGAAGTTATATCAGTGTTTTTGGAAACATAATTCTGGGTTTTTTTCAGATGTATGGCTATTGCTTCGGCAATGTTAAGAAGATGAAGTACAACTGTCTTCGGCAGCCTTCTGCTTAACCTGTAGAGTTCGCTTTGGTTGATTGATCTGTGTTCATAAGATGTTCGGATATTAAGGTTTCTACTGATCAATTTTAACCTCTTTGCAGTCAAGACGGATAATCTTATCAGATTCTTTTTGGATAAAATAAGCGTTGAACTAATTATTTGCCTGAACTCACATGAACAAGTAAATTGATAAGTACACGTAGAGTTGCTTAATTGAGGTAAAATATCCTAACGATTATTGATGATCATCGGTCGTCTAGAAAATATGCTTATCAAAGTTGCTGATATTTAGACAGTCGAAAATTTTTCACTTCATAACGTATATAAATACTTCGTCTTTGAAATGGATGATTTTATAATGTTTTATTTTCTATAGGAGTTATTTGTGGTTCATTTGGTGTGATTTTATAATTTTGTCAATGAATATCGATGGATACAGGTTTTCGACAAGTATTTTCTTAAGAAGGTTCAGCTAGTTATCTATGACTTCAGGAATACAAATTCTATGCATCCATACAACGAAAGATATGATTACGTTTCGCTTTTGGCTAATATGGATACAACTGTGAAAACTTGATAAGTTAGTTATTCCACAAGGTTTCTTGTAAATGGATCTTCTTGAAATTTTGTTGCATTTTCTTGTCATTTAAAAATCTAGAATGTGAATAATTTGTTTGTTTCCAAGTTCAATTGTGAAAATTATTGCTTTGGAGTTCAGTACAGATGGACAGAAGAGTTTTGTCGGGAAGACAACTTATCTCGTTTAGTAAGTAATTACACTGATAACAAACATTCTGAAATTCCTGTAATTTTCTCTACAGGACTCGCAAAAGTGAGTTTTATGTATGCAGTGAGAGCCGTTCTCCTATCGGCCATATGAAGGGATTCGGAGTAACAACAGGAGAATCGTTACCTACAAAATGGCCTATTAGGTCTTCAGAAAACCAGAGTTGATGGCAATAAACTATAGAGCTTAGAATAATTTACACTCTTTAATAAAGCTCGTCTCTGTTTTCCTATCGTTATTGACGAATGTTGTAGGATGAATCTTATAATAAACACTGAATATTATTTTAGAGACACTTGAATATGCAGAGAAGACATCTGTTTTCGCCAAACTCCAGTGTTGATCAACTGCTGGAAGGTAGTATATTTCTTATCATCATTATTGCAATTATTATCACTTCGTAGAATAACCATAAATTTGCGAATGTATACAGATTTAAAAATGAATCTGTTGAATCGGTCTTTCTTAAAATAATAGCACTTCCTTTTTTGCAATCAACTGAACTATTATGTGTGATCTAGTTACAACTAGTAGATATTGTCAATGATAAGAAATAATTAGAGTAATCTCATACAAATACGTGTTGAAGAATTCATGATGGTTTTTCGCTGTCATTACGATAATTCTGCTTGCTGGAACCTTGTTAGACTTTTCACTCGACCGCATTGACGTAAGGGAAACGGTTACCGTTCCCTATCATCGAGGTATCATGCTTCAAGTTCATTAACCCTTGTCATTCAGCAGTTACTTCCTGCAGGGTCATGTTGGGGCAGTGCTCGAGCTCGCTTAGGATTCTTGTTCGGATGTCAGAATCGTCGGGTGAACGCAGGCCGCAGACAAATACTAGGCATTTAAACTGGTCTTCAGTCATAGAAGACAAACTGAAACTCTCACACTCTCAGTTCAAAATTCGTGCATGTTTCACCCAGTCATCTCCTGGTTCTATCGTTAACTTCAAGCATTGATAACGGATATTAAATAGAGAAGACTGTTATCCAAAGATTTGGGGCAGAGTTTTAGCTGTTTCATCAAAACTAAAGTCTCGTGTTTTCTTCGAGAGAATGAATATACTATCGTCCCAAGTGTTCTTAGAACTATTCTGACTTTCGAGGCGTAATGAACTTTTCAGAGATCAATATAGAACGAATCTTCATATTTCTTAAACCAAGAATAAAACATTACACCTGCTGCACCGTCAAAATTTAATTCATGAATGGCATTAATGATTGAATCATTATGAGATACTTGTGATTCCCCAAAAGTAGGGTTTTGCTGGGAAAGTCACAATTTCTACATCTGGGCTCCCATGATTCTTATTTGGGACTGTTCAAATCTCCACTCTTGACGCTGCATATGAGCTTCTAACTGCTCTAAAGAAAAATTCGTTGTAGTACTCCAATCGTTACTGATATGTCTTGCTAATTGAACCCTAAATTCGGTTCCTAAGCTATTCTCGTAACCCCGAGCTAGAACTACGCAGCAACCTGAACTCGAGAGAAAAGGCGCAAAATAAGCGAAAAGCAATTTACTCTAAAGGTTCATTTTTGTACAGAAAAACACGGGTATTTATAGATGTTAACACTTTTTAATTCAACATCATTATTATTATGTGTGACCTAGTTACAACTAGTAGATATTGCCAATGATAAGACATCATTAGAATAATCTCATACAAATACGTGTTGAAGAATTCATAATTATGGCTCTCACATATGACATTTACAATTATCACGGGATCAGTGTGCTAAACTGACCCAAATCACATGCTTGAAAAGGGTATAAATGGAACTACACAAGTTCATTCCACTGGTTTACGAAGAATAATGTCAGCTAGTTTCATAATCCTGTTTGTTGTACTTACATGCTTCACACAATGGTCACTTGAGACAGTGGTAAATACTACTGAGTCTCACATCAATTCGACAGAATCACAATCCACTCTGTTGCAAGCAACTCAGCAATCATCAGACTGTTTACGGTTGTTTGCTCCACTCTTAGGACGATATTATTGGGTTGATTTTTGCGACAGTAATAGTTATATTGACCCATATTTTATGTATTATACAAATGTGATTTGTTCACATCGAAGTTTTCTGACGACGAGATACTGGATCGTGTATTCGTAAGTTCCTAAACTATTGCTCACTTATATGTTTCATGTGGAATGTCCGTTACACGTTTTGAAATAATAGATTATTTGGTCAGTTTCTGTATGATACGACGATGAGCGAAATTAATTCTCATCCTTACTTATGGTTCTCGCAAAATGTCACTCTACTGAAATGTCCTTCCTCATATTCAAGTATCTAGCATTATTAATTATATTTATATTTACTAAATAAGATTATCACAATGAACTCTAAACGTATTTTATTGACAAGAACAAGAAATCTAAGCCGATATCTTTTCACGAATTAAATAGTGTGTTCACCAAGGTAAACTGGATTCCTTGTAGTAATTTGTACGAAATACAATCGATATGGAACAATTCAAAGAGGATATTATCACAATTAAAATCCACCGGTTCACTTGGTATTATTCGCTTGTTATTTAGGATTGCAATCGATCAGTGAACATCAACTCTGGGATGCAGATACACCCATCTGACGAGTTCCAAATACGATGAAACACTGTACTTATCATTTCATACACTCTGAGTGATAGTGAATGTTATTTTTAAGATAGTTCTTTTGAAAACTGAAATCGAATCAACAATTAACTGCAACCAATGAAGCATTGCATTTTAGTCACAATCAGTCAGCGTCATGAAGTTGCATGTACATAATAGATTCGCTTACATCTATACAAGCGTTAAGTGTGCTATAATCCCGAGACATTTCATTCAAATCCGAACTATGAAAACTTCACTTTCATAGAGTACCTATTACATCTAGTTTACAAGATCTTTGCTCTCAGAGTAATGAACCATTTATACGAATTATAGAAGGAAGGAATTGTGAAAACAAACCCATTTCGAATTGGTTCATAATACTGAGTATTTGTTCTAAGTGAAATAATCTCTTAGAATGTTTGCTGACTGAGTCATGATACACAGCAAACTTTTAATTAATTAAAGGAAATAAATAAAATACAAACTTTGACCAATATGACTTGATAGATTAATTTTGCGCGACAATCTTGAGTGGATTATACTTCAGGACATGATATGTTGAATAGGTCGATGTGATAAAGATTTACAAAAGTCCTATATGGAACTCAAAACAACTTTCAACCAATATCAAAGTGAGAATCTTCAATACGAACGTCAAGGCAGTTCTACTATATGGAGGTGAAACTTGGAGAACTACAACAACCACCATCAAGAAGGTACAAGTATTTATAAATAGCTGCCTACGCAAGATACTCAACATCCACTGGCCGGATACCATCAGCAATAGCCTTCTGTGGGAGAGAACAAAGCAGCTTCCAGCTGAAGAAGAAATTAGGAAAAGACGATGGAAATGGATAGGACATACATTACGCAAACCGTCAAACTGCATCACGAGGCAAGCCCTAACTTGGAACCCTGAAGGGAGGCGAAAAAGAGGAAGGCCAAAGAACACATTGCGTCGGATTATAGAAGCAGATATGAAAAGGATGAATTACAACTGGACGGAGCTAGAAAGGATTGCCCAGGACAGGGTTGGATGGAGAATGCTGGTGAGTGGCCTATGCTCCTTCACGAGGAGTAACAGGCGTAAGTAAGTAAGTAAGTAAGTATATGATCTAATAGGAATGTCTATTAGATGAAGTACTTCTAACTTATTTGGGCGATCTTTGTAATAAGAAATGTAATAATGAAATGCACAATAGGGAATTATTAGGCAGAGTCTGAAAATAATAATCGAAAGAACCGGTTGGTCAAAGAAATGAAATGGTTACCTTGTGTAAAACTGTAACTCCTGTCGTAATGTTCATATAATCTGTATTTCCGCTTAGCATAAATGGTATATTCACAACATCTTGATTTCAGTTCATTCTAATATAAATCAACAATAGGACGAATTAAATTATTGGTTCTCCCAGTTCAGTAAAATTCAATAGGATAAAATTCTTGTCATTATCTTGATCCGACAATTCAAATCGTATGATTCTCAGGATATTCAAATTAATCATCCCTAAAATGCTATCGATGATGTAATGGCCTATTAAACAAATGAAATTTCATACATACTTGACGAAGTTAAATGAAAATAAAACGACGAAATTTTCCTTTACAATATAAAAATATTATGTAATGAATGGAATACCAGCCATTTGATGTTGTAGTGTCGGTTATTATGTTAAGCCTATATATATATATATACCTTGTTCTAGCTTTCGGACAGCCCATTCTATTCATTCTACTTGAGTCACATTCTGAACTCGTTATTTATTCACTTATAAATCTTGACTGTTTCTATATGAGCGCGTAGGTGTGCATACATTTCTTATCCCATTACTCATCACATGTCTGTAACTTACTTTTGTGTGACTATAATTATTGATTAAGGCATAGTTAAACGGTAGTTGGCTTACCCGCCATCTCCACTGCGAGTCATTTCTGTTCTCTCTATTTTATTCGCTTCATATATAAAATATATGTATTCACAAGTCCATTCTCGTTATTTGACTTATTTAATTCCGTTATTGACTAACGTGATTTAAGTCGATAATGATATACGAGAATAGACGATAACAAATATTCATACGATCTAATTGGAGTCGGATCCACGGGACACTAAAGTGGAGAGCCCTTTCGACAACATCGTTCGCTCTAAATGACGACAAAATTAAGGGCCTGACAATGTCATCAATGTATTGTTTTAAACACTTATATTATTATACTGGACATAAATAATTTTTATTAACCTATTAAACTCGATGCATTTACATTAAGCTACTATGAGCATAGAATTATATATAAGACGTAGATGGTATATTTCAGGTCGAGAAAATTAGTGAATTTATATTCAATACTGTACAAGTGTATATGTACATCAGATTTTAAATACTAAAACAATCCATACGTTTCTAGTAAAATTAGATTGTGAATAATAGTGCTATCCAGGGAAGTACATTACAACCTATTTGGTAAGGTAGTAAGAAGATAATTCATCCAGGATACTCATATACCTATGAAGTGTAATCAAATATATTCGTGAAACTGAACACTGAGGAAGTAACTTAAGCTCTTGCGTGCATAATTTGCATATTTGTTCACACATTGATATAAAACAATATAAAGGATAAAACTAATCATTTCTCAGGAAGCCAGCCATCCTGAGGGGAACTTCGGAGGCAACCAGCTACTAGATGGTTCTATTAATCTTTCACCCCATGTTTACTTTACACTATCAAGTTGCACATCAGAATCACCATGGTCCTCCACCAGAGTTTTATCTGACTTCAACATTCTCGAGCTATCAGCCGTTTGTAGAGAATTTCGGGCACTTCACTTCTACCTGAAGATTGTGCTGACGATGTCATTCAGAATAATGATGAAAACTTCATGACTAAAACATTCAGCTCAGAGAACAAAACGCACCGAAAACAATCATATACCTAGGTTTGATTAAGTGAGTTGCCAATTCGAAATTATCAGTATCATCAGGGTACATACGAGGTCTTTGGAAAAGTCATTTCAACTGGTTTGTTTGAATCTGCTATTATTTGATGGAAACATTCAGTGACTCGATACAAATGAAATAGTTACACTTGAATCATTTTCAAAACATTCAATCATTATTATAATTGATATTTTGTCCAGCTCAAATTTTCAAAACCTTATTTTATCACATAGGCGACACGAATTCCAGGGTCAATATATTATAATTCCACCTGGTGCATGTGTTCGTGATTTAAGGGAAAAAGGATTATGGTCAGTCGGCTCCGCACTTAAATGCGTAAAAATAAACCAAGACAATTATAATTTTTACTGTCACAGGCCGCGAATAACATGGTTGCCGAATGGTCAATTTCCACAAGGCATACCTCCATTCGGACCACAACCGATTCAAAATCCATTTGGAGGTTTTCATCCGATTAATTACCGTGGTGAACCGAATAAAATACGACATCCGAAGTTCATTTAGCTTAGAATCTTTGTTATAAAAACCTTTCAGCGTTATACATTTTTTTTAATAAACGCGACAAAATGAAATAATCAAAATAGATTTTGCAATTGTACTGACCCAGATGGTGATATTTGTGGAAAACATATATTTACTTGGTTCAATTTTATTTAAACAACTCACAAAAAGAAATGTTTACTTCTATTTAGACTTTGAAAATCAGTCCACATAGATAAAAAAATGATCGGATCAAGAATAAATGGTGAATCTGCCATTGCGGTTGATGGAAGATTTTTAGTGGCCCGTTTGATCTGACTCCATTTAGATCGTACGAATGATTGTTATCGCTGATTCTTGTATATCATCGTCGACTTAAATCGCATTATCCAATAACTGAATTAAATAAGTCGAATAACGAGAATCGATTTGTGAATACATATATTTTGTATATGAAGTGAATGAAACAGAGCCAAGCAAAATGACGCGTATGGAAGATGGCTGGGAAGCCAACTCCATTTTAATTAGCGTTACTCAATATTTATAGGCAGACAAAATAAACTACAGACATGTGATGAATCATGGGACATGAAGCGTGCACACATATACGCTCATATATAAAAACAGTCAAGACGGATAAGTGAATAATTGACAGGGTCAAAATATGACTCAAGTAGAATGAATAAAATGGAATGTCCGAAAACTAGAATATAAGATATATGGGCTTAAAATAATGACTGATATTACAGATTTTCAATCTCATAGTCAACATCACGGAATGATCATAATCAGACAATAGCCGGAAGCCAACAACACTAAATAGGCACTCAGCAGTGAGCATCCAACACTCCACCATCAATGATCAAACCCGGGACCTTTAGTTCCTGGTGTAAACACCTGATCTCTAGACTACTGGGTGAAGCTGATCATCCTCGGTTTGGAACGTGGTATTCGGGTGATGGGTGCTCACTTCTGAGTGGGATCTTACGTGGAGGGAACATCCGTCCAGCACCTCCGTTTTTTAAATGGTCAGATAATCACGATTATTCCTTAATGTTGACTATGAAATATTTCCGTTTTTATCAACCGTGCATGTTTTACCTACTCAACTTATTTTAAATCTTGAAATGACATTCATAGAGAATATAAGCTTTTTCCTCTCTATACAAAATATAAAATTTCAGCACAAAGAATATAGGGTTATATATTTGAATAAAGTATTAGTGAATATAGTTTATGGGTCATCAGTGTATGTTTCCAAGCATAACGATTACATCAAAAGATTTTATTTATAGTGTGTGCTTTGTGGATTACCGAAGGAATATCAATCATACTGTAATAATATCACAACCTAATCAGACTCACTTATGCAGGACATCTCAATAAATGTAGTTGGATCATGAACTGGTTTTCACCGTATCAATAGGCTTTCACTCAACCCTGCATATCAAAAATATGAATTTTAGACGATAATGACGAATGATTAGTTTCATCGAAGTGAGATTCTAAGGTGAGTTATAAGTGAAATTGTTGATCTGTTCATTCGAACTTCAATGTCGATTAATTACGAAAATCTTATCTTCATTTTGTGGATATTCACTGGGAAATTTATCATCATTTATTGTTCACTGCTTCTTTGCTACAATCTGGTGTCAATCGAATCTTTACCAATGTAAAGAGATTGTCAGGCCACTCTATATGCATTCTATGTACGCATGTATTGCATACGTGTGACTGCGCGCAACTTCATATAAATTTGCATTATGGAATTAATATATCTCTAATATGTGCAGTATATATATATATATATGTAAATCATAGTCACGACTGTACCACGCTCAATACTGGTCTGCTCATCACAGTTCTAAATGCTCTTGAGTAGAAACAAAGTTCTCGAATATGATCAGAAGGTGCAACTATTCATAAGTGAACCGCTAATGTGACCGTTTGCTTCACACTGAGTAAAGTTGAATCGAAGTCGGGTGTGCATAAAGAGAAGGAATCGGAATTCATAATATCCAAAACGGTTACAATAGACACGTTGATTTGGTCCAGTATACAATCAAAGACATTGTATTTTGTATTTCTCAACTTCAGTAGCTTTCATGTTGCTCTCGATTGATTTGTTTTAATGTTGGTTGTAGTTGTGTCAAATGTTTCTTTCCAGTGTCCACATAAGTGGAATCAAACTGACACCATAGTCCACTCAAGTTGAAAATCATTCAACAAGAATAACCTCTAGCAATCTCGACTAGAATAGGTCAGGTCATGACATCAGTGATCGACCAACAAATACTTGAAATTTTCAAATGACACTAGTGATTGAGTGTTTCATGTGACAGAAAATGATCAACAACCAGTCAATTTATCATGTGTATCTGTTGTAAATCATTGTATCCCGTTTTGAACAAGACGTGGTAATTAGCAACGTATTTAGATTCAACATTGACATTTCGTTGCAAAACAATATCCAGCTCCAAATTATTTCAAGGCGGAAATTACTCTTAAACAGTATGTTGATTTGTCTAATAAGTGCATAATAATTGGTTTGACATGAATGCGTGACTTTTACACACTGTGGAGTGCGCTGTATTTATCAGTAGGTAACCTTGAATTTCGATGAATTGGAAGTGAATGAATGTTTCGATTTACTGTACGATGTCACACAGCTTATTCGGTGCAACCTCGTTGTCCTTGTCTTCTGTAGAAATAGGAATGTCAGAATTCTGTCTTCCTACCAAACATTTCTTGAATTTTCTGTCTACGTCTCTGACCGTCTATCTTGAGAAACACCACATTAACACTATGTGATTTTAGAACTTTCGATGTATGATATATGTTGTCATGCGGCTTTAGCTACTTCTATGAGGTGATGAATTATCTGTCACATAAGATGCATTTTTCATACATATAGTTCAGTATGGTCAAGTTCTTCTCTGTTTTCTCAGCCTGTTGAGGATGTTAGGTCCCCAGAACTCACTTGGTAAATCCTTTAATTATGTAATTTGATTTTGGAGATTTGAACTTTCTCGTTTTCGCTCCAAAAGCGCTCTTTTCACCTTCATGCCTTATTTCTCACTTGACAGAATCTTTAACGCTATTGGTCCATTATGTATTATAGTATGCTATTTTTGCAACGCTTCCCAAGGACAGTTTTATGCTGTGTACATACGTTTGATTTGTGCCTCTTATTATTCAATCGTGCTTCTGGCTTACGGGATATACATTCCCGTTCCAATCTCCGACTTCTCACTCTAGTTAGCGAGTCTGAGACGCATTAGAATATCTAGCTTTATTGGTCTTTGGTCACAAACCTTTGTTCCGTTCGCATACTAAGTGAACTCGTAACCGCTCCAAACCTAGAAAAGCCTCAATGAACAATGTTGCGGGTTGAATCTCATCATAAACACTAAATGATATTGCACGGATATTTCATTCTGGAGAGAACATATTTGTATATTCTGAACTGGACGGTTTGACTGTCTTATTTTCACAACAACTAATGAAGAAGGCACACCATGTAATATAGAAGATTATAATTCGAATTTATGTTTATTCATGTGTTATAACAATGAGTAATAGAAATCAAGACCAGGAAGTGATCGATGGGACTAAATGCACGGCAATAATGCTGTTGTTGTTATTGCCTGTCTGGGATGGATACTCAGTTGAACTTCTTCACTTAGAAAACCAAACCTTCACATGATTCTCTTGTTGAGAATAGTAAGTGAAACGGTCATGTGGGCAATATAGTACAGAGGTGGTCTGTTTATGCCCATATAACTAATTCGCCTGAATGAAATCGATTGCACGTGGGTATATCAGTCAAACGTGGACGCTGAAACAGAAGACAGTAGACAAGTGCGAACGGTGTCACTGTGCATCGAAATGTTCAGCAGAATTCGAACGAGTAAACTGGCCAGATCAAGAACATCCATGATCCAGCCTCTGACTTAGTGCCCTTTAAACATATATAGCGGAAGTTAGGTAACAGTGATTTATCGACCGCACCAACAACTCGTTAAACCGTACGAGCAGTCTAGTCCTGCCTCCCGCCTAGCTCTGCCTGTCGAGTCCAGAACAATAATCCCGTCCTCTGCAATATGAATCATGTATTTCAAACATACTGGGTTTATATACAGACCAATTGGACCACATCGCACCATAAAACAGGAAATAAACATTCTTACGAGATTTAGCCGAAAGTGGTTGTGAATGTGGGGGACTGTAATTAATGGACCAGGTCTAACTCAAGAGCTGTAAATCGTATAACGATAGTCTATGGGTTAAAATAAAGTTCATAATGAGGGAAACTCGAATACGCATAGCTTAGTTACTTAACAATTACGGAGTAAAAATGTGTACATTGTGTTTCATTCATTCGAAATCAAGCAGTTATAAAAGAACCGTCACGGCTGAGACTGGAGTCTAAGCTTTTGTAATCGGTTGTACGTCTTCTTCTTATGTTCATCCTGTGTCTGTCCGACAGTGTATTGGATGTAGACTATATTATCTAGAATATACTCATTATTATTAGAATTAAAATTAGAAATCAGAACGGGCTCACCTCGGTCCTGGAATTGTACATAATCACCATATTGGTGTATAGTGAAATCACTGATATCTAGAAAATGAACCATAGACTTTCCAAAACTATCCTTCCCCACACAAATAAGAACAACCTGAAGAGAACGGATGATATTGAACTAGCAACTACATGACAAATAGTCGTTTACAAGTAATTGGACTCGTTCTCTGTCCAATCCGTTTATTTCACATGCATCGTCATTCTGACTGAAATTAATGTGGGTTATTTTAGCAATACAATTATGTAATTGATGATTCTCGTTTAACATGCACATTATTGATTCAGAATCAATTTTCTCAATCTTCAACCTGTAGTTTATTTTAATTTTTTTCATATGAAGTCATATTAATACCTAATTCCAATTATTAATAACTTAATCTTACATATACATACAGAAATACAGTTGGTTCAGTCTTTTATTTTAATATCATGAACT